AAAGTTCATCCATCTTCTAGCATGTGTCAGTACTTTCCCTTTTATTCCTTTAAATTCCTTTTTATTACCAAATAATGTTCCATTGCTTGGATGTGCCACATTTGATTTATCCATTTATCAGTTGACGGACATTTGGGTTGTTTCCACTTTTTGGTTGTTACGAATAATTCTGCTAAGGACACTTGTGTACAAGTTTTTGTGTGGACAATGTTTTCATTTCTTGGGTATATACCCACGAGTGGAATTACTGGCTCATATGGTAACTTTATGTTTAACCTTTTCAGGAACTGCCAGGTTTTCCAAAGCAGCTGCTTCATTTTTCACTGCCACCAGCAATGTATGAGGGTTCTAAATTTCCATATCCTTACCAACATTTGTCTTCTTCTGTTTTGCTTTTTTTTTTTTTTAAATTATTATAGCTATCTTAGTGGGTGTGATGTGGTATCTTATTGTGGTTTTGATTTGCATTTCCCTGATGACTAATGATGTTGAACATCTCTTCATGTACTTATTGGTCATTTGTACATCTTCTTTGGAGAAATGTCTATTCAGAGCTTTTGTCCATTTAAAAAATTGGGTTCTCTTGTGTTACTATTATTGAGTTCTCGTGACTTTTTTAATTGAGAAAATAGATATCATAAGTGAAACCTAAAGCTGCACGGTCAGTAAAAGTCACCCACATTACGGCGCTATGTAAAGTACACGGTAGCACGCAAAACGTGGACATCGCTGCAGCGACGTCACGGTGATGACTGCCCCTGTGTTCCAGAGCTCTGATCCCATTCATGACACGGACGAGACAATTCTATTTGATTGTATCAGCATTTTCCAAGTTAGTAAAGCCCTAAAACACTAATTAATTAGATTTTGTCAAATTTTAAAGAAAATTTTATTTGATATGTGATTTAATAACTGATATAGTCATTCCAGCAGTTGAAGAGAATAAAACTTTTAGTGTAAGTAAAAACAGAACCAAATCGTTATAATAAAATCCATTGATGCTTTCAAGCTATAGCTAACTTGAAGTTTTACCTCTATGTATATTTAGTTATTGAAAACAAGTTGCAAAAATTTTACCTAAGTTCCTACTAGATAAATTAGAGGTGAGAACCACCTTCTCTTCTTACAAAGTTTGGTCTCACGCACAATAGCAGTGACTAAAATAAATGGTGCCAAATTTTTGCAGACAGTCTTGTTTAATTCAGAATATAATTAAAATCTCATGTAGCTTTATTGGTTTTAGTATCCAGCAGAGAAAAAATATTGAAACTCCAAGAGATTTTGAATTAAATAGCTACAACAGTTTTGTTTTATTAGCTCTGACTGTGTGAAAAAAAATTATAAGGACAACTTTGGAAAAATCTAGTTCTTTTAGAGCCCCAAATGACTTTTAAAACAATAAAACAAACTATAAAACCTACACAAGTGATATTAAAAATTATGTAGTTCAATAAATGTGACATTCACAAATGTGGTTGTAATTTTTTTTTTAACTATAGCAAAATGAACACGGATCTGACGTTTGGATTTAGAAGAGGTAAGTGTTACACAGCTTAACAGAATTAAGTGCTTCAGTTTGCTGGGGAGGATTATGTAGCTGAGTTGAAATGTTACACATTGCAATGCTTTTAAGATCTCCATCCACCTCACAGGGTCTGTGGCTGAATCAAAGAGAAGGATGATGCTTCTTTTTCCTGTAGTAATGATTTTTTCTCTAGCATTCTAATATCTACTTTTGGAAAGTTGTACATTTAGATCTTTTTGGCTGGTGGCTGAGCCCTGCACAGCATAAACTATAAACCTACTCTTTTTGAAGATGGAGAATGAAGGCTGGCTAGTGATTTACTGTAAAGGCACTAAATGAATTGGAGTAAGCATCTCAATTTCTCATTAGGTGGAAGGGGTCGTAAAAAGTAGAAAAACACAGATGAGAAGAAACATTTTGTGCAAAAATAATCATCACAGTTATCTGCTTAGTTCCCTGAGGTCCCAATCTTTGAAGACCCAAACATAACTTTTGAAGGCACCTTTGAGCTTCAGATAATAACTCTTTCTTTGTCCCCAAATCCTGCCCCTGTCCTTGGTATACAGAAGAGCACACTTTACTTTCATAGTCTCCCGGCCCCTGCCTGAATTCTCCGTCAGGCCACGTGATGAGGATTATGATCAGTGCAGAGGGCACAACATCGGACCAGACCACAGAGGGACCATCAATTTGCAACAGCCCTGCACGGATGGTGTCCAGGGGCAAGGCACTACCTGAACTCGTATGCAGACTTAATAATTAAAATAATTTTTACCTTAAAAAAATGAGACGGAGCTTTTATTTTCTAACATATAAAATCACACTTATTTTTTTAAGTTTTTACATTGAAAAACTTCAAACCTGTAGAGAAGGTGAAAGTAGTATGATGAATATCTGTATACTCTTCCCTTAAATTCACCAATGAATAAAATTCTAATTTGGTTCATCTCCCTCTTTATACAAACATGCGTGTGTGCCCATGTATATATATGTATGTATGTGTGTGTACTGAACTATTTAAAAGTAAGTTGCAGATATCATGACCCTTCACCCTTAAATACTTTAGCTTGCACCTCCCAAGAATAAGGATGTTTTACCCACAATATCAATATCACACCTAACACAATGAACATTAATTTAATAATGCCATCTAACATACAATTCATATTCAGTTTTTGCCCTATTCTCTCATAAAATGTCTTTTATAGTTTGTTTTTTTTTTTAAAAATCCAGAATCCAATCAATTGGGGTGATACAATGGAACCTGCGAAAATCCACATCCCCAACCAAACTCAACAGTTTTGGTGTCCACTGATGGTTTTTTCTTGAATGAATTAGTACATTTTCTGATTCTATCAATCTTTCTACATTTGTTAGCTGGCATTCTTCCAGCTGTACCACCCACCATCCCTTTCTCTCTCTAAGTACCACTATGGACAGTAATACTACGCACTGTTATAATGCATAATGTGTTTTTGACGCTTAAATCACCCCAAATTTGGCTAGGGGAAGACCCTCCAAGGCAGTTCCTGTTTTCTTTCTGTGCTTTCTGGCACAAGATGCCTCCAGCTACTTTGTACTTTTCCCACCCCAGACCTAGAATCAGCCACTTCTTGAAGGATCTACTTATACTATGAATAGGTCACGCATCCAGAAGGTCCAGTTCTCCAAATACTCACAAAGTATACGGCACATTCTCCCTCCAGCTCCACCTCTCTCTTCACAGACGGCCAATGCTATTAATTTTTTCATGGATCCTTCCAGAGATAGCTTATATAACAGAGAAAGGCACAGCTAAATATTCCTACCCTCTCCCAATATTTTAAGTCAAAGGATAGCATATTACACTCGCTGTTTGTCTGTGCTTGTAGCTGCTGTCTGTCAGCAGATTCTGAAAGATGCCTATGACTCCAGCCCAAAAAGATTAGGAACCTTTAGGTTAAGTTCCAAATGTTTCAGATGAGAAAAGCTCAAGGAAGGTGATCTGACCAAAGCTGCACTGACAAAACTCACATGCCATTCGCTGGACTTGGCTATTTGCCCCTCTCTAGGCTTTTCGACAACTACTCATTTTTCAAACATCGCTTCTGTGTGGAGTCCTTTCCCTTCCTGAAAACCTCCCCTCCCCCAAGTAGGTGTTGTCCCCTCGTTATAAGGTTTCAGATCATGATGCACTTCTCCTTCCTAGCACATACATAAGTCACTGTATTAAAATTTGTTTCCTGTCTCCGTGAGGACAGGAACTACATCTGTCTCGTTCACTGCTGGTACACAGTAGTTGCTCAACAAAAATGTGCGGAGTGAAACTCGAACTCAGGCCGTCTGGCTTCCAGTCCACTCTTCTTCCTACTACGATCTCACCGCGGTCGGAGAAATAGTTCCAAGACGTAAATAAAAAAATCTCCTCTGTAGAAAAAGCCGGGAAGTCTTTTCATTTCCACGATTAATGGAGGACCTTAGCAGAAACCGCTCACCGCGAGGTGTGACAACCGCAGGAGGGCGTCAATCAAGAAAGTGCCCCCTTGCCCCGCAGGCGAGTGGAGCTGCACAGAACCGAGGCCACACTGGGTAGCGTCAGGGCTTCAATAGAAAACACGTGCAAAACGGGAAAGCGGGGCTGCGCGCAGCTGCAACTCCCAGGACCCGGGACAGGGGACCTGGAGGAGTCCCCATCGGGTCTGAGATTACATGGCTTCTGCCTAGCGCCGTAGGATCCAGGTCTTCCCTTGATTCTTGCCCGAAGCGGCTTCTGCCAGCGTCCCCAGGGAAGTGGCCGAGTCTGGGGGCCCACAAATGAAATGGGCTGGAGCGGCCGGGAGTCTGGAGCACCTGAAGTCTAGTCGTCCTTACCCCACTGGGACGCAGCCCAGAGCCGTGGATCTCTCCCCTTGGAGCTGCCCCGGGAACCCAGGGCACCCTCTCTCGCTAGGAGCTCGGGGACGACCCGGGCAACAGCCAGTGCCACCGTTACTCCAGGGAGCTCGCCGGCCACGGAGGGTACTCTCAGGCCTGCGAAGGCGCGGCCCTGCAAGTGGCCTCCACGCCTGCCAGGTCCGATCCAGCTGCCCCTTGCCTGGGGCCGGCCGCCGCCCCCGGGCCCGGGCCTTGGACCAGCGCCCCGAGTGTCGGCAGAGACGCCTCCCCGCTGGGGCGAGGGCCGCTGGAGTCCGCCTCCCTGGCCGCTGCTTTCCTCGCGCCTCTTCCGACGGACGCGGCCCTGGGCTTCCTTCGAGGGCGTCCCGAGCCAGGGTGCCTGGAGCCCCGCGCGACGGCGGCGGCCCGGCCCCGGGGCGCGGGGTCCTCCGAGGCCTGGAGAGAACGCGTCCCAGGGGCGGGGAGCTCGGCCGGCGGGGGCGGGCCAAGGGTGGGGGCGGAGGCGGCTCCCGGGGCTCCGCGCCATTGGCCGCAGGGCCCGGCGGCAGGAAGGGGCCAGCGAGCGCGGCCCCACCCCGCGGCCGGCAGAGCCTATCGCCGGGAGCGCGGAGCGCGGATAAATGTAGCGCCGCGGCGCGGCCGGCAGCTCTCCGAGGGCCGGAGCGCGCGGAGCCATGCAGTACCCGCACCCCGGGCCGGCGGGCGCCGTGGGGGTGCCGCTGTACGCGCCCACGCCGCTGCTGCAGCCCGCGCACCCGACGCCCTTCTACATCGAGGACATCCTGGGCCGCGGGCCCGCCGCCCCCAGCCCCGCGCCCACGCTGCCGTCCCCCAACTCCTCCTTCACCAGCCTCGTGTCCTCCTACCGGACCCCGGTGTACGAGCCCACGCCGATCCACCCAGCCTTCTCGCACCACTCGGCCGCCGCGCTGGCCGCCGCCTACGGACCCGGCGGCTTCGGGGGCCCTCTCTACCCCTTCCCGCGGACGGTGAACGACTACACGCACGCCCTGCTCCGCCACGACCCCCTGGGTAAGGCGGCCGGGGTCATGGCGGGGCCGAGCCGGGGCGGCGGCGAGGAAGGCGCCACCCGGCAGGTGGCAGCGCCCAGGCGGCGGCGGGGGCGGAGGGGAGGCAATAGAAAGTTGCGGCAAAAGCGCTTGAAAAGCGGCTCTCGGGCGCGCGCGGGGCCAGGAGGCGCGGGCCCCGGCGGCGCGCGGCCGGCGCTGACCGCACGGTGACTCAGATTGGTTTCCCTACACCTTGCAGGCGTCGGGGCGCGCGGGCCCGGGCGAGACCTCGGGGCTGGCGGCCGAAGGCGGTCCTGGGGCGCGCGTGTCGCCCAGGGTGGGGCCTCCTTCGCTGGAGGGACGGGGAAGGGAGTGCCAAGGCGCCCGGGCCGGGCCCTGCGGGGCAGGGAGAGCTGCCGGCCCGGCGGGTTAAGGGGCTGGACCTGGTTCAACAAGCTTGTGCAGTGAAAGAGCCTGACCCTTTCCGTTCATACAGGAAATCTTGAGTTCTCGATAGGAGTAAATCTGGTTTCAGAAGCTGTTAAGTGTTTTCCTGGCTGCATGAAGCAGACCCTTCCCCCGGAGTAGTGCACGCTGCTGATTATTTTATCGACATCCTCAATACAGACAAATTCAGGAAACACTCGACTTCTGATAGCCGGGATCCGTTTTTCTGATATTGTTCATTTCCTCTGTGTGGGATGTGACTTTATGGCAGCTAAAATAACCGGTTGCTTCCTTTTTTTTTTTTTTTTTTTTTTTTTGAGGCTGTTTTGCACCAGTCTGAAGCCTGACGTAAGCAAAATCTCGAAAAAAAAAAAACAATGCCAGCTTTCAAAGCGTTTAGGGGCAGGCCTGCAGACCCACTGAAGGACAGACGGACCGACGAGTCTTTGGAGTAGGAAGCGCAGCGCGGACTCGTTGGGCATATAGAATTTGCAGGACTTGTCCCCCTCAGTGTTGTCCCACTCAGTGCTTGGCCTAAGAAATAAGCCACCCATGATTGGCGCTCGGGGTGACCCTTGGCGCCCCCCCGCATCTGAAGCCCCCGGGTAAATAAGGAAATGGGGCTCCTGGCCTTGGACGACCAGGGTTTTAAATCGACTCCGTTATTTGTCTCTTCTGTAGGGACTCTGGAGACAAGTAACATTTTAATTAACATTTTAATGCCATCATTATTATGGTGCGGCCTCTAGGTCAGTCCTCCGCCCTCTTTCTCATCGTTAGAGAGACTTGGAGCGGATTATATTTTTGTTCTTTTTAAAACAGTTGTTGGATTGTAGTTTTGCTTCCAGCCTTCAGGGTTTGGTGGGCGGCCCGGCGTGGCACTGTCCTCCCGCTGCGGCCGGCGCGGGACCCTCCGCCGGGCCGGGCGCGGGGTGAGCGTTTTCACAGAGCGCGCCCTGGGTTTCCTTGGGTTACTGCTGGGACTGCGCAGGAGGAAGCAAAGGGTTTTTCGAGATAGACCAACAGGAAACACATTGACGGAAATGTTGCCATAGCCCACGGAGTGGCTTTAACTGGCGGCCCTCGCGGGCCGGGTGTGAAATCAGAGGAGGCCGCGGCGCCCTCGAGCCAGGATTGGAAGCTCCCCGCGCCGCCTAAGGCCGGCGCCCGGGCCCCGGGGCTCCGCGCGCAGCCAGGCTCCGCCGCCGGCCTGGATAGCGGAAAGTGCGGGTCACCAAGGGAGAGGTGGAAAAAGTTGTGTATAAATTCGAGAGCGATTTAGGTTAAAGAGGGCCCTGGTATTTTAAGCTCAGCCTATAGTGGATGTTCCTTTGGAGATCAAAAGATTTGTATGTTTGTGTCTAGCTATGGATATGATGGTTGGGGTGTGCGTGTGTGTACGCGAGTGTACAAGGGTAGTCTATGCGTATGCAGTGTAGGTGTGTGACGTCGGGTATTTCTGTGTCTCTGGGCCTGTGTGTGTATTGGTGGGAGCGTGTTGGGGTCATGTGTCGGTGGGTGTATGTGAACATGTCTGGTTGGATGTCCTCCTGCGTCCTCTCCCCCTCTTTGTTCACCCCCTGGGCCAGGGCGCTCCAGGACCTTCACTAATCCCTGCTCTTGCTGCCCGCAGGCAAACCCCTGCTCTGGAGCCCCTTCTTGCAGAGGCCTCTGCATAAAAGGAAAGGCGGCCAGGTGAGGTTCTCCAACGACCAGACCATCGAGCTGGAGAAGAAGTTCGAGACCCAGAAATACCTCTCCCCACCCGAGAGGAAGCGTCTGGCCAAGATGCTGCAGCTTAGCGAGAGACAGGTAAGCGCACCCGCGGGCCCGGAACAGGCTCCTGGGGAGGGGGTCGCGGGGCGGAAGAAAGTCGTGGAGCCACAGTGCGCCTTGGGCGCGTCGCGCCGCGCTGTCCAACACCTGGAGTGCTGGGCTGTGTGGCAGCCCGGGATCCGCTTCCCCCCTCCTCCCCAGGTCCCTGGGATTCTGGGCTTGTGGCAAGTTTTCTTTCTCTCTTTCCTGTAGGTCAAAACCTGGTTCCAGAATCGACGCGCTAAGTGGAGAAGACTAAAACAGGTATGGACATGGTTTTGTTTCTATGGAAATAAATATTTTTATCATGTTATCTCAATGCGAGGCCTGTTATAGGTTGTATGCAAAAGTCATTTGAGAGTCTATTTAACCTCTTCACCTTGATTAAAAAGGCAAATAGTCCTGCTGAAATTCAGGATGAGTTGCTCAGGCGGCAGTAATGCTAAAAGCACCTAATGCAGTTCCTATATCAATTATGCTTGGGTTTTCACACACTGGCTAGTAAAACTCCCGGCTAATTGTTTTATAAACCCCATATGTTGTTTATCTAATTAACGCAGGAAAGATAAAGTAATTGACAGTAAATGACTTAAGCAGTTATCTTTGGGAGAAAATTGTTTCTTTTATTTACACAGCCATAATAAAACCAGGCAGAGCTCAAGGGTAAATATAAGGAAATAAACACCTTTAGGTCTTGTTTGCACTGTTTTTAAAGAAGAATTAAATATCAAAGAGTTTAAAAATTATTTTTCCTCTAATGCCAGCTCATAAAATGAATATAAAAACATGTAAGAGAATATCCAAGCCTGTTTGGAAAGTAGCTTCAATTTTCTAACAGTCTTTCTTCCAATGACCTTGTTACGCAATAAGCGATAAAAAGTAAAGGGTAATTCAGTTTTTAAAGAAGCTGTATTGACTTAAAGCTAAAGATTTGTTTTTGATGTCCTAGTCTGGATATCTTCTCCAGAGTTATCTGACAATTGCTGAATTGTTCATTTGCCATTGTATATACAGTTTATAATAAATAAAATATTTTTGAAATAATAATACGAGTAGGGAAATTGGAAGCAGTGTGCGTTTCAAATTTAGTGATCATAACTTTTTCATTAAAAACAAGATGGTGTCACAGAGAACCTTTTGAAACAGAAAATAAAATTCCCATAATTTCATTATTCTAATATAATTTAAAAATTTTCAGATTCCCTTTCAGTCTGTGATCTTGCACATCTATTTGCTAAATACTTGCAAGCCTGGTGAATTTATTACTCTACTCTTACTTAAAAAAAAAACTTTAGCAGTATACCATAATATTTCTATATAGTGTTTATGTCCATTTTAGTCAGACATAGGATTAAAAGTTCACTAATGTACTTCATTCTCGGGCAAAGGCTTGACTGCAGTTTTCAAAGGACTTTTAAAATAGTGGTTCCTATGTAAGATGGGAATATTTTCTAGAGATTTCCCCCAGATTTTAAGTAAATTGTTGGTAATTTTCTCCCTTTTCAGTTGGCAACATTCTTCCAGTTCTGCATTTTTTTTCTTTTGCCGTGATTTTGTAACTTGGTACTCATATTTATGTGTATATGTTTATAAACTTACTCCAGAAAATCAATGAAAAAGCATTCGATCTAATCATTTTGAAACTTTATCCTTAATTCACTATTTAGCATTAATATTTTTTAAGTGTCTAGAAGACCCTGTTAATTGGCAAGGTTTAAATACTGAAGAATGAAGACTATATCTGTAGTGATCTGCTTTCTTTTTCCCCCTAAACTTTTAAGACTCTGGAGACCATGGGTCTGGGCTGGAGCTAAGTGTCCATTTGACATAATACATTTACAGTTATATTTGTGATTAGTTTTTCTTATCTGGCAAGAGTATAATTTTTCTCTGATAAGACAGGAACTTTACTTCTGCCAGAGTGAGAAAGAAGCACAAGTGTATATTTTCTGAATAAAAACATGATGGTTGAAAGCAACTAATAAACAAAAAGTTACAAAGATAGTAGAGGATGCAAAGACGTTTTAATTTGTCTCTCCCCTCTCCATATTTCCTGATCCTGCCAATCTCCATTTTCATCCTCTTCATCCAGGAGAACCCTCAAAGCAATAAAAAAGAAGAACTGGAAAGTTTGGACAATGCCTGCGACCAGAGGCAAGACTTGCCCAGTGAACAGAATGAAGGTGCTTTGGATAGCTCTCAATGCCCGCCCTCCCCTCGCTCCCAGGAAGACCTTGAATCAGAGATTTCAGAGGATTCCGATCAGGAAGTGGACATCGAGGGTGATAAAGGCTATTTTAATGCTGGATGATGACCGCCAACGTTGGCACGTTCAGAAAACTGGACTTGGGAATAACATTTGCTACAGAAAATCTCCATAGATGAACTGGAAAACCATATGAGAAAGGGAATCAATTTTCTGCTATTCTGGAAACCGAAAATATTTGGTGCACTGGCTAAATAACAAACTCACATTGAAAGCTGAATTTTGACTTAAAAAATAGTTTATGTACTGATTTTAGGTTGTATGATAAAGGGACGCCACTGATTAAATTCACCCCCCTTTTTAAAAAAGCAAATTGTTTTTCTATTTATAAAAAGTAATTGTGAACTTTCTTGTTAAAATTTTAAGTTATAACTTTAAAGATTTTAATAGAATCTTTTTGAATGACTTTTCTATAATCTGTATCTACATCCCACTTAGGGGAAAAGCAAAGGGGCACCCCAAATCCAGAGCTATGCCTTGGAACGGGGACCCACATTTCATGCAGCCTTGGAAAATTTTAAAAGGCAACATTCTTTTATATTACATTCTTATACTGCTGCCTTAAATCCAAACCCTTCTCGGAGCTCTTGTCTTGGGATGTGCGGGTTCTTTTTGTCCTGGAGATCAAGTTGATAATCTTACATGCTTGTTGTGCACTGTCACTTAGTACCTATTTGACCAAGGTGTTAAGTACAGTCCAATTCAAGCAGGGAAACTGACTCATCGGTGACTAAAATTAAGCACAGATGAACTAGAAGTAGCGGGTTAATTAAATGTAAGTAGATTGTAGATATTGTGTTTATCAAACAGTGTTTATAATGTGTATATATATATAATTGTTCACTGTAAAAAACATGGCCAAAATGTTTTTTTTTTTTTGAATGAGTAACTTGTCTATAAAATAAATCCGTCGGTGGGACGAACGACCTCGTCGGAACTCTCATTCTTTGATTAAAACAAACCCACAGCTTTGCTTCCAGCGCCTCGGGGCGCCTGGCGGGGTGTCTCGCTGGGGCTCCTGCAGCGGAGGCCCCGGGAGCGCGGTTCCGAGCGGCTGCCGGCGGGCTCGCACGTGGCTGGGGGATTCGGGCCTTTCCGGGCGTTTGCCGCGGGCCGGGCGTGTGCGCGTCGGGGCGGCGGGGATGGCTCCCGCCCGCGGACCCCGCGCCCGGTAGGTTCCAGCCCCGGGCGCGCCGGGCGGCGGGAAGAGCACCGTGGAGCGCGCGGCCGCCCGAGCGCCATCGATCCACCTCGGCTGGCCCGGGCCGCCGGCCTTGACCGGCGTGAGTCAACACTGCGTCAGCCCTGGGCGGCCGAGCCCGGGGCGGGG